TGTGTTATCAGTGTGTAGTTGTGTTATCAGTGTGTAGTTGTGTGTTATCAGTGTGTAGTTGTGTGTTATCAGTGTGTAGTTGTGTGTCCTCTTGAGTATCCTTTAATGCATCATGTGCTGTCCCCTCTCAGCAACGTCTTTTTACAGAAATGTAGAAAGCACATTTGAAGAAATGTTATCATAGAAGACATTACAAGTAATTTTGTTGTATTTCTTGAATGATTACAAACAGAAGTCTGCACTAGTGATAGTGCACTGTCAGTAATTTAGGCTTGTGTGTGTGTCCTTTAATGCATCATATGCAATTTGTGATGTTTGTTTGATAAGAAGACATCACTCAAGGATGCAAGCACTCTCTTGACAATTACCTTAAAAAATGTACAAAGCCCATTTAGAGAAATACCATCGTAAAAGACCTTTAAAGCACATTTTGTTTTATTTTTGTATTGTTTAATAAGTAGAAACCAAATTCTCCACTTGGAATGACATTTATTTAGGCTGGTGTGTGTGTCCATAGTGTACCTTTTATGCATACTGTGCCATCAGTCGGTGGCAGTACTGAAGTCTTTCACAAAGAGCCACATTTTAGCTGCTACTATAGATAATCCTCCCAGGAAACATATGTTATGTTTACATCATCAGATAAAAGGCCTTTTTTATTCACTGCCAATTGCATTTAACATCGACACAAACCAGACATCCACATTACCTTTCTGTTCAAATATGACAGACTGGAGTCCTTTTATCTCTGTGCTTTTCAGTAGCTTTTCATGTGTAGTTGTTCCTCTTTAACCCCCCTCTGATTTGTAGATTTGTGTTTTTGTTAGATGGAAGACTTTCCACAATCAAAGAGTTTTTGTTGTGTTCTGTGTTTCAAGTGAATCTCTTGAAACTCCCTGTTTGACTGAGAGTAACCCACCTGAGTGAGATCAGAGATGCACACTGTGATCAGACTTCTCTGTCAATTATCGTTATGCATGAAGGGTAGTAGAGTTAGAGGCCAAATACTTTGTGCATATAAGTGAATAAAAAACAGTAATAGCTTGCTTGGAAAACAGTTGGTCCGTTCTTTTCCTTCTAATTATTTGATTTGTTGTGTGAACAAAATAATATTATATATTTATTGTTAAACCAAAGATGCTATATATAATGATATAATAATTGCATCATATTATTTATAAACAATACGACAATATCAGCAACTATACTTGATACTTACACTCAGTTAATAGTTGCTTTTAGCAACCATTTACACCAAATCCTGATTGTAAATACTGTTGTTGCTTACTCTTAAAGATTCTTGAACAAAAATAAAGCTGGATAAAATAAGCTTTATTTGTATGCAGGGGTTTAAGGGATTAGCAACCTTTTATGTCATCTCTGGTATGAACTTTCTAATAAAAGCATTACATGTCCCTCCTTAACTACAGATACAACTTTTGCATCCAATAAATACTATTTCCCAGATTTCTGAATGGTGTCTTGCCTTGTGATTTCTTTCTGTTTCCTGTTTTATTTTCGTAAACCACTCTTAAGTCTGGTTTCACTTCCTGTCTTTGTGTTTTCCTTTGTTTGCCCCGCCCTGATTCTACCCACCTGTGTCTTATTAATCTGATGAGGTCTGTGTGTGTATATATACCTGTGTTACCGCTTGTTCTCTGTAAGGTTGTCGTCTATAACCTGATGTGGGTCTGCCTGTGTTAATATGGATTATTCCTCCTGTTCACTCGTGGAGTTGTGGCCTTTCCATCCTTGTTGTTTGTCGTTCAGTTATGCTGCTTTTCTTTTGTATTACCATAGCATACTTCATCAGTTTCATGTTGAATTTCTGGATCAGCTTTGGTTTATTAAAACTCAGCTTTTGTTATTTATACAAACCTCCTCCAACTGCCTGCTATATTTCCTGGCAAATTGCATAGAATGTAGGCCTGCAAAACTGTGGCATTAAAGTAGTACAGTATCATAAACCAAACCCCTCCTCTGACCTTTGTGTCAACCTTCTAAGAACAAAGCAATCCTCACACGCAGAGAATAATCCCCTGAGATCATAGAGGTGAGGATACAGCACATATTATGTGCTGTATCCTCACCTCTCTGCACATAAAACTTAGCCTAATTCCTTCTTTTTTTAATACTAAGGAAACTAGGATGAAATAGAAAAATATAACTATAAACGGGGGCCATTTGCAGTAGTGTAAGCGACAGATACCTAAGAGAAAGATTACATTAAGTATTATTGTATTCATAAAATGTCATAAACAAATATCAGAAATCATTCATTCAGTTTTTGCCTGCAGAATTAAAGCAGAAAAATCTTATTTAAAGTTTTATTCAGTTTTTAAGCATAAGATTTCATAGATATATAAAAATAAGGAAGCAACATTCAGTTTTAGCATGCAGAATTAATGCAGAAAAGTCTTATTTAAAGTGATATTCATCTGCCAAAAGGTCTTAACAGAGCTAGATTTTGTTTCAGTCTTTACAGAATAAAGAGAACCATATATAGCCTGCATCATCTACAGCAGTTTCCTGAGCAGAGTGAGCCAACAAAGCCCTTGAGTCCAGAAAATAACCTTTTAAATGAAGTCCTTTCTTAAAAAGAGGAGGGGTTAAAGTGTTAAAACTACATTTCTTTATTGTTTTTATGGCTGAGAAACACAGTTTTATTTACAGTTGTAAATGCATTTGTATTTGTACCAGAGGTGGAAGACGTAATGATTAAAAGAAGCATTAGTACAGCGTAAAATGACTTAGTTACAAGTAAAGGTTCTGCATTCAAAATTGTAATTAAATACAAATTAATGCTTTACTACCGAAGTAAAAGTACTCTTTATGCTTTAAGGCACATTTAAACAACAGATATATTGTATTAAAATTGTTGATGTTTTATGTGTTCATCACTTCAATGTTGTACTTTGTATAGGGTTTATTTGAATTATTTTATACACTGCTGTTAAGCTTAACTTATATAATAATGTGTGTCGAATCGATTTATATGTTGTATTTACCTAAATCTGCAAAGTAACAAGTTACTAAATATCAAAAATAAATGTGTTGCAGCAAAAAATACAAAATTGGCTTCGAAAAATGTAGTAGAGTAGAAGTATAACGTAGTATAACATGAAAATACTGGGGTAAAGTCAATCTATTTACTCAAGTACAGCACTTGAGTAAGTTGCTTTCCACCACTGCACTTAAGTTATGTTTGTACACAGTAACAAGTAGAAGTACAGCAGAGATGAATACAGTACCAATCATCAGACCTCGGTGACTTCCGGACGCGTTTGATTCGTTGTGGATGACATCAGCTGTGCAGTGAGTGTGCGGAAAAAAAAGAAAAACCCGGCGCCCTCTCCTCTCCCGGTTACTGAACATGACACAATGTCTGCTGGTATAAAAAGCTAGGGCCACTCCTATCGAGGCTCTACTGTGTGTCTGGAGGCTCCGGGGCTCTGCAGCGCGTAAAGGGAGGAGGCTGAGTGCAGAAACGGGAGATATAGCGTGAGAGAGACAGTGGAGAGGACAGGATGGCCACCCTGGTACAATCCGCAGAAATGGAGACTTTAGGCGGTCAGAGCAGAACCGGGACGTCTCCCACATCCGCCAATCCCTCGCAGCACTTCAACGACAGCAAATTTTACCTGCTGGTGGTGATCGGGGAGATCATAACGGAGGATCATCTGAAGTGTGCCATTGCGGACATAGAGAGAGGTAAGACTGCGCTGAACTAAGCATTTGTATAACAACTTGAGCAGATTTAGCCTAATAGATAAGAAGTTGGTCTCATAGCTGTAAAGTCATGCACCTGTTTGGATGCATTACGCCTGAGCCAATTACGCATAACAACAATTAAATGTGTATACGGTATTTAATCTAGAAGTGATGTTGCATAATAGGGGATATTGATCAGCCCCTCCCAGTAACATTACAATAATCTTCACATTTTAACCCTTTACTTCTAACCCCCCACTGCGTTTAAGGGTTTTAGTTTAGGGTGATTATCATATTTTTGTCAGTAGGCCCAACTGTTGTCATCCAAACACGTGGGCCAGATCCTAATGCAGCCAGTGATTCAGCATTTGATCTGGACTATGCGTCAAATAATGCAGCGGATCGCGTTTCTTTGGCTCCAGTGTGCAGCAATTGCGTTATATATGTTTTTCTCCTGCAGCATCTTAATCAGGTGCGTCAGGCTTTTGTTTCCTGAGAGTCCCAGGCATCATTTTACAGCCAGGAAGAGAAAACGAAGTTATAGCAGTAGCTTTATTCTCTCTGGTTGGGTGGGGAATAAGCTTCGCTAAAAAGCTGAATGCATTGTGTTTTGACTTGATGATTGGTATGCAGAGTAGATTATTTCCCATTTTTATCCTGAGTGCATCTCCTCATCATCTCCCCGCATCCAGCTCTCTCATCTCTCGCCGGCTGGTGGGCGTGGCCCGGGCCGCACTGCGGTCCCTACGGAAAGCCAGAGGGAAAGATTTTCAAACCGAGCAGGGCGTTTTTAGAAAAGCCACAGCTGCTGTAGTGGCCTGCTGGCCAGAGAGTTCTGTTTGTGTCTGGCAGAGAGGAGAATAAGAGGGGGATATGGCGCAGTTAGGCCTGTGAGGGAATCAGTCAATCAATAAAATGATCATAAGTGTTTACTTTTGGGTATTACCCCCCATTAAATAGAGTTTAAGCAGTGGGAGTCACAGTTAATTTTTCTTTTATGTTAATTAAATTGAGTTTTTATTGGCCATTACTGTCAGATCTTTGGACCAAAACACAATTTCGAGACTAAAATAATTAACCTTGGAAACAAAAATATTACATGGGGCTGTTCTTTGAGGTTTTTTGTTATTTATATGACACATTTTATTTTATTCACACAATCTTATAATCTAAAATGGTGTATGTGGCATTACATTTACCTCCCTAGCACTTTAATTGAAACTTTGAATCTATTAAATATATTTTGTATTTACATGTGGCACTTTTATATCACCTTTGTCACTGTTGCTCATTTTAATCTCATAATATTGCCACACCCTTGGTTTTTAGTTTAGGCCCAAACCTTTCAACATGTCATATTGTGAATAGAATAACCTGTATGTCCACCTTTGTACATCATTTACCTCACAGATAAACACTTTTAAGACCTTTTGTCTCCATTACCAGTTCATATCACCCTGTAGCTTCACACAGGCCTTCATTAGGAATTACTCGGCCTGATGATGAGAGAGGATGATGTCACCATGACTCAGCTGCTCTGTGGATGCTATCATGCGCCAGGCCCATGGCTAAACCGAGAAAGTACAATAGATATTTCCTAATATAGATTTCTCTTTTCATGCCAAATCGTATGTTCAGTCTAAGGTTTTCCAATGAACTGAGGGCAAAGAATCAGTGGAATAGATGTGGGGGCGAAGGACAGACTTTCGCGTTGGTTAGACCTGTTGCCAAGTTCTCAATGTGTCGTCTGCTGTTTGCATTGATTTTAGACAGGGAAACGCAGGGTGTTCCACACACTTGCCCTTTCACCTCTTTGTTCTTTATTAATCTCTTGTTGATCTCTCTCTGTTTATCTTGCAGGGATCCGCTCATGGGACACCAACCTCATCGACTGTAACCTGGACCAGGAGCTGAAGCTGTTTGTCTCCAGACACTCGGCTCGTTTCTCTGCAGATGTCAAAGGTAAACTGTGAATGACAGACATTTTCACTCATTTTCTAACACTAGCCATCTGAAAACAGCTTCCATTGCATTAACAAAGCCTAGGAAACATACTTTATACCGTATTATACGGTATGTGACACGTAATAACTAATAATGACTTAAATCATATATAAAAATACTATGAAAACACAAAAAAGCTCTGCACACAATACACTTCTATTGGTTTAACACCTGATTTCAGAGATGTTTACGTGTTGCTCTGTTTTTTTTAAATAGATTCCTACAACCCTTATATTGTAATGCAGTTTTAAAATGTTAACCTTTTTTTAACATATTTACATACCCTAGAACAGGGGTGTCAAACTCAAATACACAGTGGGCCAAAATAAAAAAATCGGTACTAGCCAAGATCGGACTGGTTCAATATTTATTGCAGAACTTATTGAAATGAACGTATTGCACATATTAAACCTGGAACTAACAAAGCTTAAATTATTGCCTATAAAAACAACATTAAACATTAAAGGTTCGAGATACGCTTTTTGTTATATTCCATGGAATGCTCTTAACATCCCGATAGCAATGAATATCTTAAGTGCTTTGACAAAGAATCCATACAAAAATATCATCTGTGGAAGCTGAAGTACTGTAAAAAGCACGACCAATCATCTGAGCCGGCCCGGCTAAAATAACTGGATGGCCTACCTGCCTGTCAGCCTTCCATCTGTGCACAAACTTATCTCGTGCCCTCATTGGTCATGTGCGTGTTCGTGTGTGTTGGAGGAGGGGCTCTGTAAGGAAGTGGCCGTTTTTTTCAGGCTATGTATTTTCAAATTCTAGCGCACTCAAGCTGGTTTCTCCAAAATTACCTACCCCACCTTTAAATAATCAGTTGCTTTTCTTATGGCTCTATCAGCAGAGTCATTTCTTATGATTACATTTTTCCACAGGCCAACAACAGCTTCAAAAAAACATTTCCCTCAAAGAAAAAAACAAACATGTCCTGTTGTCGCAAGAAAAAAAGTGTAGAAGGAAACATCCATGTAAACTCAGTGTGCTGCTCTGTGATGCTACTTCAAGCAGATACTTGGCATCTCATCTTGGGTGCAAGTTCATCAATGTTTGGCCTCAGGCTCTGAGCTGAGGAAACCCTCAGGATTGAGTGAAGGTGTGCGTGCAATATACCGGCAGGCCAGATCTAATAGTAATTAGAAATTATCCTGCGGGCCGAAATTAAATCCACCACGGGCCCGGATTTGGCCCCCGGGCCTTGAGTTTGACACATGTGCCCTAGAAACATGCTATTAGTCCTGAAATGAGACACATGTGGCATGTTGAAGCATTATCATTTTTCATACTCTGATTTCTTTTTTAAATAAGTTCAAATATTATGAGATCCTTTACACTTCTTACGATAAAATAAAACACAAATACCAGATTAAAATGACTTCATAAGAAGGAGATGTATTTGACTGAATAATGAAAACTGCACTTTAAAGATGCATTTGTTTTGTAATGTAAAGTAACAAGTAGCTAGAGCTGTAAGACAGATAGTAAATGTTAGGTACAATGTTAAGAAGAAGTAGATAACTGACATACTCAAATACAGGACAACTACCTCAAAACACTTTAATTGAGTAAAAGTATACTTTGTATCACAACGCTGCACATTTCTGCACTATCACACCCTCAGCTATAAAGTCCATGCAGTACCCTAAGCAGAGGGTGTTATGACCTGCCCCAGGACACGCCCTCTCAGCCTTTGTTGCAAGGTGAGGCTCGGCTCTATGAAGATGGAGGATCCAGTGTTGCAGGACATGTGGCTGCCGGTCAGTGGGCAGTATGGCCTTGACGCTCAGCAGCAGTTAAATCTCTGCTTGGCTTTGCTCCACGTTGGATAGGAACAGCAGGCGTTTATACTTCCCAATAGATTGATCCCGCCAACAACTGCTGCTGCTGCTTTTAATCAGGATGTATTTTAATGCAGTGTTATCAAATGTCCGAATTGGGCCGCAGGGTTGTAATACAACATGTTGCGAGAGAGGTGAAACATGGAGATTTGTATATGATATAATTCAAAGAGACTTCACTCCTTTTATCTCTTTTAAAATCCCTTCACCCAGCCTCCATTCTCTTCTTCTTCCTCCATGTCTGCTGTTGCCTTGCAACCCAGTACTAGATGCGCAGTAGATTCGGGAGTAATTAGCTGTGCAGAATCCCCAGTGGAAAGTGTCTGTTCATGAAAATCAAAAAGGGAGGGGAACAGAGAGGAGCTGGGGAACAGAGAGGGTGAGGGGAACAGAGAGGGTGAGGGGAATGGCTGTGAGGAGAAAGAAGAAACAAAAGCAAACAGGGGAGTAAGAGAGGGAGGAGGGTGAGGTAGGAAAGATGAAAACATACAGAAGGTTGTGGATGAAAGAATAGGCTGAAGTTCAATGTGAGATAGAGACAGAAATGCAGCTCTGATCAGATCATTAATGAAGCCGAGGCTATGAGAAGGCATCTGTAAAACTGGAATAATATGGTTCTGTTATATTCTACGCCTTAGGGTCTTTACTGAGTCTATATCTCTAGGGGAGGATTTTCACTGTCTTTTGAACTTTTAATACAGAAACTGCTTTATTAAGAGCTTTCTAGAAACACTTCCAGGGCTTTTATGTTTATGAGGTGCAGTTCCCCTGCATACAGATAATATTTTTCCTTCATGGAAATGTACTCTAACTTTTAACATGCAAACTACCTTTATATTGTTGTGTTAAATCCAAAATAAGCATTTCTTAAATCTAAATGTTGACATTTTGGTGTGTGCTATTTTCTTTTTTTCACCAAAAGTAAGACGAAGACTTCAGCTTTCTCGTATCTATGAGCTAAATACAGTATGAAGCTGCATCGAGCAGGTGCTTATCTTAGCATAAAGGTATCAAATTCACCTATAAGCATCGCCAAAGCTTACTATTCAACGCCTTACATTTTGTTTGTTAAATCCACACAAAAACAACAACAATGACACGTGTTTCAGTATTTCTTGGCCAGGAGCTGGATTTTCCAAAAGTCTTTATCAGAAGGAAAGTCATTGCTTCTGGTAGATAGGTATGGCATATTTTGTTCCCTTAGCAGGCTAGCCGATTTTTGCTATTTACAGTCTTTATGCTAAGCTAAGCTATGTAGCTGCTAGCTGTAGCCTTATGTTTACTGGAAAGATATTCGAGTATGGTATCAATTTTCTCATTTAACTCTTGCCAGGAAAGCGAACAAGTATATTTCTCCAAATGTCCAGCTCATTCCAACAATAATGCAACATTGCATTTTTTTCACACTGAGCTTCTGACTTTATCTAAGATATAATTGTACCTTTGTTGCATAAAATATTACCTTCAGTTTGTAGTGCATCTATAGCTTACAGGAAAACACAAACCAGCAGGTAGTATCGGGCAGAGAGGGACGAATGCAATTATCTGTCTGCTTGACAAATGATATGCCATCCATCACACCGCGGTAGAGTACAGGAAGTATGGACCCCACAGTGGGGAGGAAGAGAAGGGAGGAAAGAAGGGGCAAGGCAGGAGACCCCCAATGTGTCCCTTCTGGATATTATACTTCTGGTTATGTATGGCTTTCTCAGTACTTCAATGCAGACTGCTCTGAAGTCTTAAACGGCGCTCTCTAAACCACAGATCCACTCGAGACTCTTCTACTGTAAGAAAACATTGCCGCTTGTGATCAATAGTAATTAAGAATTGAGTTGACTTTAACAAAGGAATAGAGTGGTGCCAGGATGCGACCTATACCAGGAAATGAGTCAACATTTTAGCATAGACCCATGCCTGATGCGCAAATGCGGCACAATTAAGCGCGCCACAGTTTCGCCGCTGATATGTGGGGACAAATGAACCAGTGGCAGTTCACGCGCGTGCTCCACTAGCACCCCACGCCCCGTCTGTCCGTCAGAGGAACCTCATCACATAACTTTGCGTGGGGCCAGGGGCAGCCCTGGATAAAAGTGTGTTTGCCAAAGAGCTTATTTTCTGCAATAATAAAAAATCCAATAGAAAAATCCCATTGCTTTTTGTCAAGGAACCCCCTGGCGATGCTTACTTTCAGGTCTGCATACAAAAAAACGTCATCATTGAACCACTCTATTTGTTAAGCCATAAAGATCCTCCAGATATATTGCACACATAGGATCCTGTTTTCCCCTCGATGTCTATTAAACCCAAAGAAAGAAAGAAATAAGTAGAGGGAAGACTGAATAATTGTTGCTCTTTCTCCTAGCGTGTGTCATATGCTTGACAAGCTAATTCCTGAAGATAACGGCTGTAAAGAAGCTTACCATTATTTAGAGGCATCAATACTGCCAAGCAGATGATTACTGCTCAGTGAGCCAGCCGGAAAAACAGCAGTTGGAGTTAATTAGCTCTGTGCCCAGACATATTACATATAGCTCCCTTTTTAATCCAGTTATATGGGGACAAATGAACCAGTGACATTGACAACTGTGCTCAGGGGGGCCCCATTTTTGTCACTGAAAGTCACCTTGGTCAATTATTCTGTTGCAGTAGAAAAGAAAATGACAGGAAGGTGAAAGGTGCTGACACATACTGGCCATCCACCTAAAGAGATTACTTTTTATTTCTCACATGTTGAGGTATTTTTTGCGAAAAGGAGACACTACCTTTAGTTGTTCCACTGATCTATTTTTGGTGTGGTGCCATCCACATTGATGTGTCTGGTTCAGTCCGTGGCAGGCATAAAGGCTACACCAGACTTGCACTTTCTATTCAGCCAGGAGGAGAATGCTTAGTGATGCATGTCACATTACCTCTCCTCTAGCTGAGACAGAGAAGCATTGGGCATTAAGAATATTTATATGGATCAAGGTAATTGTCAGGGTCAACCAAGCCTCAGTGCACATGTGTCATTTTTTGATGGGTTGGCTTGGATGGTAATTTGGCAGCGTGATGGTGCTGGTGGCGGCTCCACCAGTCCTTTACATGTACGGACCATTTCTGCTTCATCACACAACATCCCAGCAAGTAGGGCGTGACCCACCGAGAGACAACAAAGAACAAGCTTTTCTATTACATTAGCGATGGTTTGTTTATAGTAGCACGACAGGAGGTAGGGTTTCCAGGATCAATTGTTCTCCCGTCTCACAGACGACTTAAAAAAACATTTCCTCAGTCTCTTGTTTTAAAGGAGGAGCTCTTGTCATCAGTTTAACACTGCTGCCTCTTCAGAACCAAGCTGAGCGAAGCTGCTTTCTCAGGAATGTGATGATGGTGGGATAAGACTGATACTAATCTCTGCTTCAAATTGTTAATACAAATTCACAATAAAGGAGCAAAAATGAAGACAAGAGTTTTTCGGTATTGGGATTCGCGAGTAATCACAATATTTCAAAGGCTTGAGAAAAGTTTGAAATCAAAGCATTAAAACTATAGCCCCCATCACTCCGTCAAAGCAATGTCCACCTTAAAAAAAGTTAAGTTTAATTTTGGATTTAACCACAACCATGTTATTCATTTAAAAATAGTCTTTAACAAAACATCTGCAAATAAAATACTGCCGCCAGAGAAAAACGTGATGTCTTTTTTGTAGTTTAAACATCTGCCATGATACTGAAGCTCAAATTTAAAGTCGCACTAGGAATATTATTCCCTCCAGACAACTTACTACATAGAGCAAACGTAGTGCAATAACTACTCAAGGGTTGGCAAGTTGGGGAAGAGCTATTATTTCAACATTAACTGAACTCCGGAGAGTATTATAAGATAATAGCATGTACTAGATAGCAGCCAGCCCAGTATTAACAGCAGTGATTGAAAGAGTTCTTCCATATGGAGAGACAGTCCTCTGGGAGCAGGAGGCAAAGTTAATGGCTATGTGCTCCATAATGAGAATCTGCAGTATGAAATATATATGGAGGAATCGGCCCAGCAGCCAGATTCATGTCTCTGGAGACGAGGCACACTCTATCCTCTGAATTTTAAGATAATATTCAACACCTCGCTGCCCTCTGGACCCCACAGAGAGCATATCTTTAGTTTGTGTTATTTGCAGAATATGAGTGGCAGACTATTTTTTTGTTTTTACCAGTGGAAATTGATCCAAATGAATAAGAAAACAGGTTTTCAGTTAGGTGGCTCAAGGGGAATGTATTGATACATGTAAAGGAAAATAAATGAGATAACAGGAGGAAGAGATAAAGACAGATTGATTGAGTGAGCGGGTGAATAATGACGCTAGACCCCCTGGCCCAGAGGAAACCCCCTTATACACACACAGACACTCACACACTGGGAACAAAGTCATTATCATAATCAATCATGCTGGGTTTTGGATGATTGATTATGAGCCTGTCACACCCCATTGTTCATCTTCTGTGTAACAGCTCTGTCATATGAGGGGAAATGTTACTTATTGGAAGAATAAAGCATATCCAGTCCTCATAATATACACACAGAACAAACAATTATGTGGTCTTTATCCAATCATTATGTCATGTCTGTATTGTTTGTCCGAAGTTGAGTATCGAGTTGAAACAATTGTCTGATTAATTTATAAATTGATTGTCAGGAAAATGAGTCACCAAGTTCTTTTAAAATCAATCAGTTGAGTCGTTTTTCTAAGCGAATAAATTCTCATTCCCGCTTGAAATGGCAAGGTTTACTGGTTTTCTTCTTCTTATGTGATATTAAATTGATTTTTTCAACAATTGTTCTACTTTGTTTCACAGGACAGAGAATTCTTCACCATAAGAGTAATATACTGGAGACAGTGGTGCTCATCAACCCTTCAGATGAAGCAGTCAGCACCGAGGTAAAGTGAGATAAAATGGTGTTGGCAATCTATTATTTCTTATTCTTTAACTTTGTATTTGCAATCAAGGAGGTATGAGTCACACATGCTTTAAATGAATGCACAGCTACATAGCAATTACAGCTTGAAAACGATTATTACCCAGCCTCAGCTGTCCACCACTTTTGGCTAATTAGCCCTCCATGTGAAGTGCTGCGCGGTGCAATTTGTGGGAATAAAAAAAGATAGGAGCAATTAGGAGCTCAAGAGACTTGTCTTGTGTACTGTTAGAAGAAAGTGCAGCCTTTTACCTCTTTTATTTTTGCAGAAAAGTTGTTGTTACATTTTGACCGAAAGAAAGACATAGAAGGGTCAGCATTACAGATGACACACGATTTTTCTCTTGTGACACTGCTTCAGCGTCGCCTCCACCCCCCAGCCATGTCTGCAGTCAAACTGCGCATTAATAATATCTCAAAGCACAGCAGGGTCTGACCAGCTGCCCAGAACAGCTGATGTTGCTGAACAAGAAAAAATAAAAGACCAACAGGGAGAGGCAAGACTTAGAGGGATGAAAGGAAAATTAGCAGAGTGAACGAGTCAGTTAATTAGCTAATGGATTTGATTGACGCAAAAACTGGTGATGTTTCAAACAGACTAAATCATTAGGCTGTTTGCTGCAGCCGCAAAGCTCTGTAGTCCCCATCTCTGTAGCCAATAAGTACTATATATGATTGTGCACCAGTGGCGAACCGTCAGGGCCTTCAAGGTATTCAGAGAATACCCTGGAACACTCAGATAAAACAAACAAAAAATCAATGTAATTATATAAATAAAATGTATATAAAATGAATAAATGAGAATCGTATCTGTGTTGTTGATCTGTAATATTACAGCGTTACGTTGATTTGTTTGTCCTTCTCGGTCCATGCACTACGCATTTCAGTGGTTTTGTGTTAGAAAAAAAATGCAACCAATCAGATCTTGTTCTGGGTCTCTGGGTTGAATATCCTTCAACCAAGGTATTCTACATCCTTGATAGAATGCCCTGGCCGTTGCACTGAATGAGAGCGTACGTTTGGATTGACAGTTTGATCAACCAATAATATATTGATTTGTAGCCAATGGGCGTATTCATTCCGGCAACGTCTACAGAACGTCTACAGAAGGTCCAGTTGTGATAGACACGGTTCGCCACTGTTGTGTACTATCAAGCAGTTTACATCAAGTGTCATACATGTTTTTCTCAATGTTTCTTTGACTTATTGTCCATTTACTCTCTAGGCTCGTTTGATGGTCTCAGACACTGCCAGACACAAGCTTCTGGTTCTCTCTGGGCAATGCTCTGAAAACAGTGGAGAGTTAATCCTTCAGTCTGGAGCTTTCTCTTTCTTCAACTTCATAGACATATTCACCGACCAAGAGGTGAGCAAACATGATGATGAGTTTTTTATGAGAACTATGACATTGCCCCATGTGCAGACCTTTTTTGTCTGGTTTTACATTAGTGAAAGATTGCAGGGTCTACTGTATAATGATAAAAAAAAAAAATTCAGTCAAACCCTTGCAACAAATGCGTGGTATTTGCCATCTCTAAAAGCTCTAATTCAAGCATTGCATTATAGTCTTAAAACTTGACATACATATACACGTACTAAAACTGATAGCAAAGCACTGTTCATTTCATTATGGACTTATTCAAAGTTACTCACTCATAGTCCCTTAATTTCTTTCCTGAACAGATTGGTGAATTGCTCAGCACCATTCACCCGGCAAACAAAGCCAACCTCACACTCTCCTGCCCTCAACAAGGAGAGTGGAAAAGCTCCAACCTGGACAAACACAACTTGCAGGACTTCATTCACATGAAACTAAACTCGACTCTCATTCTCCCTGAAATGGAGGGCCTCTCAGAGTTCACAGAGTATTTATCTGAATCCGTAGAGATCCCGACTCCTTTTGAAATGTTAGAACCGCCAACCTCAGGTGGATTCCTCAAACTCTCCAAACCATGCTGTTACATTTTCCCTGCCGGAAACGGTGACTCCGCCCTCTTTGCCGTCAACGGCTTCAACATGCTCATTAATGGTGGCTCGGACAGGAAGTCGTGCTTCTGGAAGTTGGTGAGGCACCTGGACCGTGTGGACTCCATCCTCATGACCCACATTGGTGACGACAACCTGCCAGGCATCAATAGCATGCTGCAGAGGAAGGTTGCAGAGCAGGAAGAGGAGCAGTCCCAGGGTTCGACAGCTAACAGCGACTGGGTGAAGAACATGATCTCTCCAGATATTGGTATTGTGTTTGTGAATCTTCCTGAAAACCTGGACAACCCGGACCCGAATTACAGAGTGCGAAGGAGCTTTGAGGAGGCAGCCTTCACTCAGCAGTTCCTCACCAAGCTAAATTTGAGGTTAGAGCCTTTGCAGAGGCCTGTTGGAAACACTATAGAACCACTGATACTTTTTCAGAAAATGGGCGTTGGGAAACTTGAGATGTATGTGCTTAATCCATCAAAGAACAGCAAGGAGATGCAGCACTTTATGAAGCAGTGGACAGGGACTGAAAAAGACACCGCCTCCATTCTGCTGCCAAATGGAAAAGAATCCGAGTTCCCCGTCTCTTACTTGACTTCGATCTCTTCGCTCATTGTGTGGCATCCCGCAAATCCCTCAGATAAGGTCGTGCGTGTTCTCTTTCCTGGAAATGCCACCCAGCATCATGTCTTTGAAGGTTTAGAAAAACTGAAGCACTTGGACTTTCTGAAGCAGCCGGTTGTCACTCAGAAAGCGATGTCTTCTAATATGCCGTCAACACCAACACTAAAGCAAGCTAAGATGAAACACAGAACAGACAGCAAAGAGAGCCTCAAATCTACCCCAAGGCCATCACCAAGCAGAAGCATCAGGAAGGAATCAAAGGAGGAAGCCCCGGAAAAGGCAAAGACAGATGCAGAATCTTCTCATGAAAAACCACAAAAGACTGAGAAAAAAGAAAAAGCCCCGCTGAAAAAGGCAAAGGCACCCGAGAAAGAATCAAAGGCAAAGGCAGAGCAAACGGCCCAAAATGAAACTCCAGAGAAAAAGAAGTCTGAAATAAAACCCAAGGTGGAAAAGGTTGTAAAAAAGGAGACCAAAGTGTCTGTGGAAAAGAAAAAAGAAGTTAAGAAAGAAGTAGCAAAGAAAGATGATACACCCAAACATGAAGTTAAAAAGGATGAAAAAGTAAAGAAAGAGGAGGCAAAGAAGGTTATCAAAAAGGATATCAGAAGAGACTCGCCTATGAAAGAGAAGAAAGAAGAAAAGAAAGACTTAAAGAAAGATGTCAAAAGGCCAGTTAAAGACATAAAGAAATCATCCGCTGCGGGGGGGGAAAAGAGCCCAACACCAAAACCAAAGCCCCTGAAAAAAGAGGCTTCAAAGAAAGATGTAGGAACACCATCAAAATTGAAAGACAAAGGAAAGCCAAAGGTGACAAAGAAGGATACAAAAGAGGAAAGTGCCAAACTTGCAGTGAGTGCAGCTGCTGTTGCGGAGGATCCAGAAGTAGTAAGATCTCTGATGTCAACACCAGAGGACCTCACTAAGGACTTTGAGGAACTTAAAGCTGAAGAGCTTGTGGAGGATGATGCAACTGTGCAACACATCAAGGAAGAAGAGGCTGTGATGATCCACCGTGAAGAAATAATGCAGAACAAAGAGTCACCTGAGGCATTAGAGTCTTTGGATGAGGGTATAACAACAACAGAGGTTGAAGGAGACAATGAAGAGACTCCAGAAGAACAAGTTGTTAAGGGAAAACTCATTGGCAGTGTAAGTGAGAAGTTTGAAGATGAAGGCACTGTAATGGAGGAGACATCCGAGGGAGGGGATTATGAAGAGAAGGAAGAGATGGAAGAAGTTTATGAACCAAATAAAGATAAGCTTACTCCCAGTGAAGATGAACACCAAGACCGAAAGGATGATGTTAAACAAGTGGATAGTGTTAAAGATGATGACGATGATGTAACTTATAAAAATGAGGAAAGTCTTCACGTAAGTGAGAGACAGACCGAGAAACCGTATCAGTTCCTTTCAGCATCACCCAAAGTATCCTCACCTGTTTCTCCAGCTGCATCTATCCATGAAGAAATGTTTCCGGTTGACTTTGAGAGCTCCACAACCTCGGATGACGAGAACAGAGATAAGCCCCCTGAAGATTACACTGTCAGCTCTGGCCTTACTCAGTCCACTATTGAGATCTCTAGTGTGCCTACTCCAATGGATGATATGTCAACTCCTAAGGACATTGCAAGCGACGAAAACATCAATGATGAGTCTCCTTCACAGGACTTTGGCAGGTTTGCTAAATCAGCATCTGGGGAGTTCGATGGGAAGAAGCCCTCTCCACTTCAGGATTTGCCATTGTCAGATCACTCTCACAGTGATCCCACAGAAGGCCATGACTACAATCACTCAGCTTCCACAATATCTCCCCCTTCACCTCTAGAAGAGGATCAATTCAATAAAGGGTTTCTCACCGCAGGGAAACTTGAAGGGTTTGCAACAGCTAAAGAGTCATGTGAAACAGACTCCACGAGACTGAGTTCAACTTCCATCACATCACCTCTTGTACGTTCTCCCTCAGTGGACCGCAAGGACAATTTGGATTCTCCATCAGTGTTTGCTTCTCCAATTGAACTGTCCACCACCATGGCAGGGTCTCCAGCAGCAACAGTTGATCCCTTCATCAGCCCAGAGTCAGACAAGATCTTGGAAGGAGCTAACTCACCTCAGTCCTCTGGTCACACACCTTACTTTCAGTCCCCAGTCGATGAAAAGGCCGGAGCTATACCACCTATGTCAGAAGATAAAGCACAGGGTCCAGTCATTGTGGAGGTCACAAGTGATAAAGAGGAGTCTTCCAATAGAAGTACCCCTGAACCAGAAAGTTTCTCCGCTGTAGAGAAGGTAATGTCCTCCTCAAAAAGCCCACCTCCAACTGAACCAGATTCCCCAACAAAGATGGAGAAGTCAGACTTCCAGAAAACTGGAGATTCAATCCTGTCTTCAGCACCAATGTCCAAACAGGAATCAGACACTAGTCCTTTTACAGCTTTTAAAGACGAGAGTAAAATGTCCATTTCAGAGGGTACCACATCAGACAAGTCCGAAACTCCTCTGGAGGAGGTGGTAGCAGAAGATACATTTTCACATTTAGCTTCAGCATCCACCGCCTCGCTGGCCACCAGCTCTTTGCCAGAACCCACCACAGACTCTCCTTCCCTTCATGCGGAGATAGGATCTCCTCACTCAACAGAAGTGGATGACTCTTTCTCTGTCTCCATGGTTCAGACTCCAACCGCCTTTCAAGAAGCTGAGGGATCTCCAACCAAGGAAGATAGCCCAAGGCCCATGTCTATCTCCCCAGACATCTCACCAAAGATGAAAAGCAGAACACAGGATGCAAAATCCCCAGAGCACTCCACCATGTCAATAGAGTTTGGCCAGGATTCCTCTGACCACTCCTTAGCCCTGGACTTTAGTAAGCAATCTCCAGAGCATCTATCTGCTGGGGGCACTTCACGTGCTACAGAAAATGGCCCTACTGAGGTTGACTATAGCCCTTCAGAGGGAACAGATGAAAGACAATCTGAAAACCGTAATTCTGCAGCAGAGAAGCCTTTTCTTTTTGAAGAGAGTTATTCAATCCTTGCCACTTCTGCAACCCCATCAGATGCATCTCAGTCCACTCCCTCTGTTACAACTCCTTGCCAGATGACAGAGATGCTACATGCAACACCTGAGCAGACGGATAAGTCTCCCGTCACCACAAAGGCATCTTCTCTCACCCACTCTCCCCATTCCAATGAGCCATCCCCAGTGCTGGGAAGTCCCTTGGCTAAAGACAGCTACAGCCCTATTTCACCATCTGTAGAGAGCATAGCTAATACATCTGACACACAGCAGAAATATGACAAGTCACCCTCACCTCCCAAAGCTGCTTTCCCCTCATCGACTTTTAGATATTCAAAAGAAGATACCCTTTCCCCTGCAAAGGAGACTAATCCCTTTAAATGTGAGGATTCAACACCTGAGGCAAAATCCCCTGTGAGCCCAAAAGTCCCCTGTCCATCATATCTACCTCTCTCCTCTGATCCATGTCATTACAATTCGGCCTGTGGCTCCAGAGATCCTGACTCTATTAAGAAGAGCCCCTTTGCTCCATCTAAGACAGATGTCGACCTATGCCTAGTCACTTCATGTGAGTACCGTCACCCTAAGACAGAACTGTCCCCATCTTTCATCAACCCTAGCCCTATGGAATACTTCATTAATGAAGAAAACGCCAGGGAGGAGGAGAAGCTTCTGACCAAGTCAGCAGGAGGGCCTCCACCTCCAGGTGGTAAGCTTTCCGTGAAGCAGTGTGAGGAGACCCCTCCCACATCCATCAGTGAATCCGCTCCCTCCCAGACAGACTCAGATGTTCCACCAGGGACCGAGGAGTGTCCCTCCATCACAGCAGATGCTAACATTGACTCTGAAGATGACTCTGAGACTCTGCCTACCGACAGAACGCTGACTTATCGGCATGCAGATCCTCCTCCGGTGGCACTGAAGGACTCCGCTCCATCTTCAGGCCACCATGATGTCTGCATGGTGGACCCAGACGCCCTCAAGGCTGAAGAAAACCTCCACAATGCTAATGCAGATGGAGGAGAGAATCCCAAGAAGAAAAAGCTGATCAAGAAGTCTTCCTCACCTGCCAGGAAGACTACTCTATCAAAAGTAAAGGACACCAAGACTGCCTCTCCGAAGAAGAGTGTCGGGGAAGGGAAGGACGCTAAAAATGCAACCAATACCTCTGCATCCAGAGGTGTTAAAAGTGCCACATCAGGTGAGTACTATTTTTTACTCATTAGCATCAATTATATCACATATCTGTTTTACATAATTTGCTTGTATTGAAGGTATATGTTTGCTTCTTTCAGGTACTGGCAGTGGAAAGGTATCAGGTGGGGCAGCTCTGCCCAACTGTCCTCCCATGTACATGGATTTGGTTTACATCCCTAATCACTGCAATGCCAAGAATGTGGATGCTGAGTTCTTTAAGCGGGTGCGCTCCTCTTACTATGTGGTCAGTGGCAATGATCCCACTGCTCATGAGCCCAGTAGGTCAGTCCTTGATGCTCTGCTGGAAGGAAAGGCTCAGTGGGGAAACAATTTGCAGGTGAGTATTTATATAATTAATGAGATATTGTAAAACTAACTGGACTAAAGTTACAATTTTGGGGAGCAATTTAAGATATTTTTAAGTCAATTTCAGTAATGCCACTGCCCGCATTTTAGGGTGCAAGATTGAAAATAACAATAGGTCATTGACCCATACATTTCTTCCCATAGTTCAATGTTACTTTTAGAGCCTTGCTACTAATAATATAATACGGAATTCTACTTGCAAACATCATAAGAGGGAAATATATATTTTAGTTGAAGGATGATACAGGAATTTTCCGAATGCTCTGAGCTAAGAGACCTTCTTCTCTCGTGTCAGGTCACTTTGATTCCAACCCATGACACTGATGTGATGAGGGAGTGGTACCAGGAGACCCACGACAAGCAGCAGGAGCTCAACATCATGGTGCTGGCCAGCAGTAGCACTGTCGTCATGCAGGACGAGTCCTTCCCCGCATGCAAGATAGAGATGTAGGCTCTATCTTGGAGATCAGGAGGTCTACTGACAATGAGAGGCATCATTATTTGAGGAACAAAACATGTAGCACTGAAACTTACAATTAAACACTTATATGCTCAAAAGCTACTACTAAACCCTGAGAAAATAAATATGTACAATGAGAACTAACACAAAGTCTTCATGCAAGGGACAATGCTTTCTATATAAAGTAAGACATGTAATCTGATTTGTAGGTATAATTCGATAGTGCCGGGAGGAAATTAGAAACCAACAAAGCCATGATTGTCCATTTATGCCAACTCTAACAAGTAACTCTGATGTTGTTGTCGATTTATTGGGTTTCTTCTGCATCCCTAGATCAAATAGACAGATGTCAATAAAAAAAACATCCCTGCATAATGATATATTCTTGGATAATGGCTGTTATCCACACCAAAGGATAAAACAAAATGTTTTCTGTTATTGCCTTAGGGAGTCAAATTGAATGTATAAGAAATGGTACAACTAGCAGAGTGGGCCGCTAGCTCTTCACACCAGAGGTCAATCCCAAAAACTGCTGTTAAATGGTTACATAGTCGAATGATGGTGGATGAAATAACTTGAAAGGATACTCAACACTGATTACCATTAATATGATGTCTGACTTCATATTCATCACGGGGGATACAAAGTGCCCCCTACCATTTTGAAACCTTATGTTTTTAAAGTGGGCCGGGTAGTATTTGATTTAAAATGCATGTCTTAAAATCTGCTTCATGTTGCTGCTGATGTATGAATATTAATTTATTATTTGTAATATTGTGCTTGATTGTCCAGATAGCCTTTTACACTGCACAACAGGAAGCTGCTTCAGAATGCTCTCCCTTGCCTTTTGTCGTGTAAGGCCTTTTATTTCAGATTGTCTGTTTTATTTACATATTTTATGTTATTTCACGAAGAGAAAATCTGAATTTATTTATTATCCTTCTTTTTTTTCATGTAATCCTTGAGCTATGGGGGAGCTAGCCTTTTCCCATTGTAAAGCTGGTGAGGCAGGATATTTTCATAGACCTTAAATGTCTTGTTTTTCTAAAGCATTGTACTATAATTATAAATAGCTTTGTGGCTGATGGAGTGGTTGGAAGACATGCATGATGCGTTAGAATTTGTAATTTTTTGTCCATGGGGATTTTGCTCAGACTTGCATTAACAACAACAGGGCTAAGCTACATAAATACATGTAAGGAGCATTTTATAATTTTTGCAAGTTGTGCGATAACATTACTACATTTAACTCGAATGGCGTACAAATGTGCACTGTAGGAACATAAAACATGATTTCGGGTTTAGTACAGTGGATTTTCAGGTTGAATAATTATTGAGACAAAAGAGTGTATGCTCTTTAGCCGGGATGAAAGGATAACAGCTTAGAGTAGAGGTGTAGTTTTGAGAGGGGCCGCACACAGAGGCGAGAGTGAGTGACTAAGGTGTTTTAAATGAAAGTATGTAAAACAAAGACACTTTAAACACATACATGACAAAACAAAACGAACAGTACAGAGGCCACAGGTGAACTTTGACTGGCCACCTTCTGGAGAAACATTTAACAACTCAATCATTACAGGCTTTACTTGATCACTAAATATTTCTGAAATGTCAGGTGTTCATAATACCACTATAGATCGGTTTTCCTGCAGGGGAACCTTAAACCAACACCATAACCAACAACAAACATACAAACCGGACTGACATTTCTCTATCCTCTTTCTTCTATCTCTTCACTCCCTGTCTTTCTCTCTGCCTTTTACTCCTTATCTTTCTCTCGGGAGAACTTTACTATGTCTGTCTGCAGCTGTGTGGTAAAATTGTCTTGTGATCTTGCATCCTCTCTGCCCTTTTCCCAAACTCATATGTAACTTCTAGCAATTAGTTTCAATTGAAAGTATTCCTCGGTGCTTTCTGATGTTTGTGTGCAATATTTCCTCTACCCTTACGGCGAATCTGATGTAAGAGGAACCACTACTAAAGAAAAAACATTAAATAACAACCAAAATAAAATCTGTTGTGAAAAAATATGGATTTATTTGTCTTACTTAATCCTTTTAAAGGCTTTAAGTTTTGTTATTGTGTGATATTACAAAGTTTGTTTATTCTTGTGTTATATTTAAAAAATATCATGTCCAAATCTCACAGACGCCAGTCATGCTTCCATTAAAATATATCTCACAATTCCATACTTCCCATGCTAGCAGCTACGTAAGCGTACAGTGGTGCTTTGAGCTAAATGCTAATTCATGTTAGCGCTGATGTTAAGCACGTAAAAAGTACCAACCACACCATGTTTCCCATCTTAGTTTAGCGTGTTAGCATGCTAACATTTGCTAAATACTAAACACAACATTTTGCCGATATCAAGTCGATATCATCTGTTGTACAGGTATTTGGACCTAAACCAAAGAATTAGATACAAATTCCGTAAAAAAACATGACACTGTCACTAGATTTAAAGTCAGGTGATCGTCAAATTATAATAAATGCGCTGCATCCAACAATTGTTGAGATATTTGACTCAAAAACTATAAAGGTAGTTGTTGTCATCTTCTTCATTAACGTTCTTACAGAATGTCATAGCTTAAAGTATTGAGATATTTCAGTACAGACTAAATGTATGGATCATTTCACCACAACGTTTACAACAACAAACTCCTCCATCGTGAAGATAAATAACACAACATTGCCCGCCTGTCAAGTAAAGGTCATGTGCACACAGGTGATTGGCTAGAAGCAACATCCAGGGAGGAAGTCGTCTGTTTTAGCGTCCTTGAGAGCCAGACAGAATAGATTGGCTTTTATGTTCCCTCAGAGGGATTTATCCTACGAGACTTAGCTGTGGCTCAGCTAAGAGGAAAGAGCTGTCTGTGAGTGTTTTGACACTGTTTTCCTGTAAGTAAAGCTATTCGCCTGGCTTGGCATGTTACATTTTCTGACATTAAGTTGGACTTAAATAACTCAACTATGGATTGTGATAACATTTTGCACAGACATTCATGGTCCTTTAATGATGCATCCTACAAACTCTTGTGAGCCACTGAAAAAATGTATAGCAACACCAGCAAAATAACATTGTTGGCTTTTAATGATACAGCTTGACAACTATTTGACTTGATTGCCACACAATTTGGTGCAGACAAAAGCTAGGATGCAATTATCATAATGTAGGAACAGTGGGCAGCCACAACTTAGCACCTGTGGAAAACACTTGAGTACAAATCTTACAACATACTTAATATGCATATCCTTTTATGTAGATATCAGGAGAACACCTGCAATGGGAGAACATTTACACTGGCTGTAATCAGCACGAGCTTCAACTTAAGACCATGCTAACCCAAGCCAATGTACAATGCAAAGGAGAGTGAAGAAAATATAATAAATTCATGTGAACTATCAAATGAACCGATCTTTATAATATATTAAGATATGCAGAACATGAAACATGTCTTGAGAAAAATAATAACACTTTTAGCTGCTCCAGTATGGACCAAACTGAAGGCCCTTTTAGATCAGATTCCCTACAGACGAAAGTGACAGACTAATTAAGAAAAGCAGAGCAGGATGAGAGGACATTTCTACTCAATCCAATATCCATTTCCTGTACAATGTTGCATCACAAAGCCACATGTCTGGTGACTTATACACCCCCACAGAGTGGTGATGGCTGCACACCAGTAAGTGGAAAGCTTTTAGATTTCCTTCCATATAGTATTACATTACCATATACAAGTTATGGAAATGAGAGTGCCTCCCTTCCCAAAACCAACATGCAGTCCCAGGCTATAATTGAGTGAATAAACATGCATGTAAATGTATGTTACGTTGAAAATCTTGCTATATTGAAGCTAACCTATTAAATTGTATTTCAAGGACAGTGTCTGACATAGGAATCACTAGCAGCTGTTTTTTCCTTTTTTTCCTGTGCCGTAACTGTTTCAGCAGGGACATTTATTAATGATGATGGGACATCCCCGGGCACTTTCCAAAACCAAAGGGAAGTGCACGCAGGGATAAATCGAAGAAGATGAAAGAGCTACTGTCTGTCTGCAAGTGCTAAAATAAACCTCCCCTACACACAGTGCTGTATTTCCCCGTTGATTAAATACATTATTACAGTAATTCAGGAGCTGTCGTCCCACTAAACCCTAAACCTGTAGCTTTAGATAAGGTTTATGTTTGATAAACCTTTTTTTTTTAATAATGCAAAATATACATACAGAGAAAGAGAGAAACCCGCAGAGACATACACCTTGCAGGATGCCATAAATTATCAAAGGCCTTGTTTCTGATTGGCTCTGCAGGCAATCTCAACAGGATGGGCTGAGGTCTTGTTGCCAGGGCAACAGTAGGGAACTCCCTGTCCCAGCCCTATTTTGTCTCTGCTGAGATCTTAGGAGTACCTTTAAGAAACACCATGATAATTGTAATGAATATTCTCCAAATGGCTGCAGGTTTAGCAAACATGTTTCCACAGAGTTCTAAATAAATACCATAAGATTATATGATGATATTAACAAATTCATGATGCACATTTGAACAACTGGATGAGAATTTACAAGTACTGTAACAGAATATGAATGAATACTTAGATTCTGTTGAGCTCCTAAACTCTGTCTCTTCACTTGCTTATGTTTATAGCACACATCGGCTAGTCTACATATTTATATATCATACAAAATACAGGAAGTGTATCTACTGTACAGTGTTTATTTTACATTCTGTTTCATCTCATTTTACTTGCAATATTATGTCATTTGCACTATTTTATGTATTTATTTTTCTTTGTATATCTTTATCATACTGTATGTTGTACTGTTTGAGGAGACTGGGACTTAAGATTTTCATTGCTAACAACTATGCTGTAACTTTTGTGCTCATAATATTATAGTCCTTGAATTTGCAAAAGTATTTCAAGAAAAATGCAAATGTGTGACCCCTGCATCACATTGAAAATGCAACTGAACTCTTCCATAAGGATGTACAGTAGGTCCTTGCTTATGTAAAGCTGCAGGTCAATGGATACAGTGGTGGCAGGGTTTGGCGTCTCAGACTCCCATCCTAAATGGGAGATGAGGTACAAATACAATTCTGTTTAAATAAGATGTGAGTCTGGAAGATGTTGGGGTCTACATATTCTCAATGAAAATGTCTAGAATTATTATTATTTTTGATTAGACAACATTTTACTTTGCGATAGGTGCTGAAGAAAATGCAGTGTAGCATATATTCAGAAGTGGAAAGTAGTAGATACAAATAAATGCAAAACGATATCACTAAACTAATAATACATATTGTTGTGTATTGCAACTGACAACCTGTTAAAAGAAGGCCAATAGTCTCACATTTCCTGACAGCAGCAAACTCCTCTGACATGTTTACAGTAAAGTACAACAGCACCACCTGTAGGTTAAAAGAAGAACCCCTTTGGTCATGAAATAAAAAATAAAACAAAACTTTAAACATGTAATAGCACAAACACGAAGAGAGGTTTGTCTAAAAGAGTATAAGCAGGGGTGCACATAACTTTTTTAATGAGTTACTCATATGAGTACCAGGAGACAGCATTTGGTACTCACCCCACACAAAGCGTGGTCATCCTCAGTGTCTCCTTCACTGCCCTCTATTTACACTTCTTGCATGCTAGATGATGAAGATGATGAAGATGCACCTCCCTGTCTCTTTTTAAGCCTCCGATTTGCTTTCTCCAAACCGTGTTGCCAAAACTGTGAAGTCCTTGCATTTCCTGAGGCCAAGTTGAAGGATCAAATACTAAGAATTATTATCACATGACTTGAAGTCGTATCTGATTTCAGATGTGGAAAGTTATAAGTACACTTATTCAAGTGTACTTAAGTACAATTTTGAAATATTTGTACTTTACTTGACTTTGTACTACTCTACTACAGTTCAGAGGTAAATGGTTTCCTTTTACTTCATTACATGTATTTAATACCTTTAGTTACTTTACAGATCTGGATTAATGATGTGAAATATAATCAACTCTTAAATAAGACTTTAGTTACACCTGGAGTAAATCCACAAGCTACCCTGCAGTATACATAACATTACATTGCATTTAGCTGACGCTTTTATCCAAAGCGACTTACGATAAGTGTATTCAACCAACAAGATACAAACTTGAAGAAAACAGAATCATATAAGTACATCAGGTTTCATAGAGCTAAAACATTTCAAGTGCTACTCGACTGGCTTTAGATAAGCCAGTCCTTTATTAGTATATAAGTCAGGGTTGCCAACTTTGGGTACCTGGCTGGAGTGAGATTTTGATATCATGGGTTTAATTACACATATGCACACTAAATGACTGCTATCGTGTCAGCAGCGGGACCTTAGCATATAGTATATAGGATATATATACAATATATACAAATACACAATATTGGACACAGACTATAAAGGGCACAACGTCTCATTCACTAATGAAATCAAACACATGTTTCCACTGTTTTATTTTGTGCCTGTCGCGATAAATAAAAACGAACTCAATAAATTGCCATTTACATGAGGATGTGGCTAGCAGTTTGAAAGGATGTACTTGAATTATTATTATATATTATCATTATGTCAGTGGTCTAAAATGGTCATCCAACGGTGCCGACAATATTATCGTTTATCGCAATAATTTCCGGGAAAATGTATCCTACCAAATTAATTATCGTGAGAGGCCTATACATGAAACACACACACACAAACAAATCTACAGACTTACTCCAAACTGCCAAATATATTAATTAACACACTCTCATATACTCTTTGACTGTATTTTGGCCAAGTAGAACAATAACCAGCAGACTTTTACTTTTTTATCATTTCTACTGGATCTTAGATCTGCGCATGTGCAATACGGGTCGGGAATTGACCAACCGGCTCCCACTGCTCTGCTGCCTGTTAACGTTGTTAAGGGTGTTGGGGGCGGGGAGGGAGCGGATCGACCGCTTGAGCAGCTGTCAACTCAACATTGTAAATAATCAACCAAAAACGATCGCCGGTTCATCTTGTTTT